ATCTTAAAATTTCAATATATATATATATATATATATATATATATTTAAAATCAATTTTTTATGTACCTAAAAAATTATCATATTCAAATTAAAAATTAAAAATTATAAAAATTTGAATAAATCAATTCAAACAAAATATTTAAAGAATAATAGAAGTTAAAATAAAAAATAATTTAAATTCTAAAAAAAATCAAATTCCTTAAATTTTTAAATTTATCATTCAAATCCAAACACACCATCAGGTAGTTTAATCGAAGATTTACTAAACAAAAATATATACATTTAAAAAAACAAAAAACCTCAAGTAATTGTAATAAGTAGAGGTGATCAAAATTTGTCAGCCCATCCAAAAACCAATAAACGCGAATGCAATGCATTCACATTGGTAAATGTTTTTCGGACAGCCAATGAAATAATATAAAGTTTTGGTTTTAGACGTTTCAGTTGAAAAAAAAAACCATCAAAATTCGTACTTGACTGACTAATAGAAAAGAAAAGAAAAATATGTACATAAATGACTTTGGAAAAAAATAAAAATAAGTGTGTCACTGTTAATTCAGATTTTAATATGAAGTAACAAAAAATGTCTCATAAAAGAATCATTAGTTTTAGTTATAGAATTGTTTACGGTGGAATTAACCATCAAATCCTGGGTTCTAGACAATTAACCCGTATCACTTATGTCAGTTGTGGCGTGGCCTTGGCATAGTGTTAATTGTAAGATTTGTGTGAATTATGAATGTGGAAATGATAATGTTAATTGCAAGATTTGAGATGAATGGGTGTGATTGCGAATTATGATGTGAAAATGATGCATGATTGATAGAGTTATGATATATATAGAAATGCTTGTAAATATTTCATTATGTAATGAGATTACATTGTTGTGTGTTTGTATGTGCTTTACATATGGATGTTTTCTTTTCTTACCGTACAAATTGTAGATGTTTTAGGTGAGGAAGATCTGGTTACGAGTGGCATTTAGAATGCCAACAGTTGAATTGTGGGTATGCTCTGATATTGTGACATCGGGGTAGAGGATTTTTAGGACAAATTTTTATATGGATTTGGAATTGTAAATATTATTTTTGAAAACAACTTGTAAACTCTTGTGTTTCATTTTCTAATTTTTTTTTATTATTGTGGTTATTGAAGAACAATTTTGAAGATTCTCATGTGAACCCTTTTACCGAAATTGAAAAATTTATTTGTAAGTTTTCATTATTACAATATATGTATTGGGGTAGTAAGGGTATCACAAATCATGCCTTGCCTATGGGGTTGTTACAACCCTTACCCATTCCTCAGCATGTGTGGGAGGATATTGCTATGAATTTTATAACTCATTTACCTCTCTCTCATGGTTATTCTACCATTATGGTAGTGGTGGATCGTTTATCTAAGTTTGGACACTTCATTGCATTGAAAGAAAATTTCACAAGCAAGATAGTAGC